CTATTCAGTGTTGCATACATCCGCACAAACCTTATATACCCTTGCACCTATATAATATAATACAATATAACCTCGTAGTCTCTCCGGGCGATTGCTCTACTGCTGAAGGAAATTTTCATTATACGTCCCATGCAAAGCCTGAGGCTTGAAATCAACAACAGCATCTCTCAGTCGAAGTGGGGGTTGTCCATGCAGTTCATTATTAGTTCATTCTAGTTCTATTTTGGCTTTATATGACATATAAGCCAACAGTTCAAAGTTTTAAAGCTCAAAAAGTTAGTTATTTGCTCTAATGTGTAAGAGATAGCATTTTTACGATCAAAAGAAGTGTTGGTATTGCGTTTTATCTCCCTAAAGATTTTCGTAATAATTGCTTGTCAAGCGGTATGAAGAGCTTTGTGATCCTTTTTATCACGAAGAGAAGGCCACTTTGAGTTTAGATGTATTATATTAAGTTGAACTGATCGATGAAGATGTACCTTGTGAGGTGATAATTATTTCCGGAGAAGTAGGCGACTGCTTTGCCAACATTTTGAGAAATTGATTTAACCCAACAGCTTCACGATTTTCTGCAAGACTTTTCCGTATATTAGTACGAGGCCCCTTTTTAGCAGTTGGCTTTTCACGCACTACTAAAGGTCAAAATTATTCTCAGAAATGCCTTATAAGTTTGAGCAAAACATTGAATTTCTCTAGCGCAGCAATTAGCTGTGAGAAGCCTTATACAAGTACCTATGTTAAGCAACAATCACGTTAAACTTCATTAAATTATCGTTAACTAGAGTCTGTTTGTCACCATTTATCGCAAATGAAAGTGACTAAGTAAGATTTGCTTGCTGTACTATTCTGACCGAAAATTATGTAACCAATAACGTAGCAAAAAAGTCATAGGACGAAAATTTGAACTGGTTTTGAGTATTAAGTTAGTCTTAACACTAGTTATTATTTATTTTTAGTGACTTAAGTTTTGTGATCTTACCTAAAGACTTAATGTGTTTCATAAGTGTTTCCCTCACTTAGCAAAGACATTTTTAGTGAAGACACAACCATTAAAAATGTGGTTTATCTACGTGGACTATCTTCATTTCCGTTAGGCAATTTCGATAGAAAACGTGTCGTATTGTTCATCCGAACAAACAGCTGCGCGTTAATTAGGCGCCTTCTAGTGGCTATTTTTTTTTTTTCAAACAATTCTGATAATTAAGAATACAATTTTTTAATTTTATAGTTAATATATATTTTATTAAATTTTTTTTGGTAATGATTTTTTGCTATTTAGGTGCGCATGGCTGCGCGTCTAGTTATTGTTGTATTGACAACGGCCTAAGGAACTATTCTTGTTTCCCTTTTTTTTTTTTCTTCCCCTTTCTCAACTTTCCAACAAATTCCTTTTCGTATAGGTTAATATGTACATGTTCACATGTTCGCTTGCCACAATTAGAATTTCGTGACACATTTTTCAGAATTCTATACATAGAATTGGCTGATTGCAACTAGACCATAAAGAAGACTACATAAAAATTATCCACAAAATTTCCCATAAGCATATGAACGCAGCATATGTGCTCATAGTCATGTATGAATGAATGACTGTATGCGTGTGTACGTTGAAAAGCAAAAGTAAGCCTAAAAAGTATTAAAAAACACAGCAAAACTATATGATCATATCGAAAGTAAACGGTCCTATTTTTGGGAGAAAAAAAAAACGTAAACGAATAAAAATTAAGCAACTGTTTAGTACAGCAATCTCTATGCATGATTTTTGGCAGTCTGGCAACAAGTTAAGTTTTTTATATCCCTTATAGGAGACATAATAGTTTTGTCAAATGTTTGGAAAGCATTAAAAGATGCATTGGAGACTTAATAAACATTGGAATCATATTGCTTTCGTCCGCTTCTTTTGATTATGCCGCCAAAACATTCGCCATCATCTACGATACTAACACTCAGACAACAGATGAGTTTCCATCGTGGGATTATGCGACCAATATTTGCAATATTTGCAAATTACCTAAGTTTCGTTGTCATAATTCGGTTTCGGTCTTTTCTTCATTGCGTCGAATTAGTCAACATTATGCGATCGCAAAGAAATCGATTTATATGGAAAGTAAACAATAGCACTCTTTCAATAACATACGGCCATTAAACAAATTGACAAATTAAATTTTCTTTTTTATGCCATTTTGTACAGTTGAGTGTCTCTACGACAAAGCTTAAGGTATACGCATGTGGATAGAAAAGAAGGTGCAAGTTTTATCCCACAGAAATCGTAAAAGATCACTTTCGCAAAGCCTACACGGCGTTTTTCCATGTGGCGGCAGTGTTCAAAATTAATTCCGGCCATCCCGTGCGAACTGTCTCGATGACGCTGCATTGATCTCGCCAGGTGATCCTGTATCAGTCGCCAAGTAGGTAAGAATCAAGCGCGGTAGAGCTTTTCTTTGGTCGCAGGTGAACTGAGTGCTCAGTCAGCATAACACTTACCACCCGGAGACACAGTCGCTAGACTGCTACTTCTACTACTCATTTCTCTCTCCTTATTTCCCTACTGACCATCACCGCGTGACACGAACAGACAACAACACATTGAATGATTGGTCATATTACAAAACGATACAAATATCACGCTTTAAGGATAGCTTCTATGAAGAGATGAATATGTTAGTCTTTGGATATTTTCTATTTGCTTGCGAGAAGGTTTGCCTCATATACTGTATTACGATTAAAGTATGAAACGTATAAGTGTAAAAATAAAGAACAAGCGGCAAGCAACTGAAAGGTATCACAAAATTCAGTTCAAGCTTAACATAATTGCTTGTAAAATTTACTTTTGAGATGATTTTAAATGCGCCACTAACGTGACTCTCATTTACACTCGAGAAAAATGTGATAGAATTATATTTTATTTTCGACTTTTCCATTTAGTATTATTTATTTATTTTTTTATTTTTTTTTTGCTATATACTTCTTCGCGTTCTTATTATGGCAGTTATCTTTATAATGGCTCGTCAGTGCTGAGTGTATTCGCTTTAATTAAAATAAAATTTCCTACACATTACATTTTTTGTGATTACATTTTTTATGATCATTTCCGTTAAATAATTGAAAATAGAAAAAATACGTAATTTTGATAATAAAAACGTTTCAATAGGCGGATGAGTAAATTGCAAAATTAATTACCGAACGATTATTAAAGAAAAGTGAAATAATTGATTTGTTTTTTCACCATTTATTAAATTGAATTTTTATTTGCTAAAGATAGGAGCATCTTGAAATTATTTAAAACGACCTTGGGCAACATTATCTGCCTTATGCAACTATAGGGAAAGTAAAGATTGCTTTAAATACAACAAAAAAAGAAAATAACATTTCATAATCATCGCAAGTTGTCGTCAACCAACGGAACGTAATGTTGTGTTAAGGGTTTGGCGGCGTGAGAGGGGAAATCATTTTCGATAGTATGGTGTCGATTAAACAGAAATACAATAAATACAGAGTATTTTGAGACGTTGTTCTTGTGCTGCGAGGACAGCTGTTAGAATACATAAAATTATTTGTTAACATGACAGAGCCATGACCTTTTTAGAAACAAGTTTATTTTCGTATATTTTGTTTGCAAGAGGAGGAGAGAATTATGGAATTATGGAAAGCAATATTTTTTTGGCATTAAGCGAAAAGTATTTTCGCTTTTTATTTCTATCAAATGGAATGTAATAAATTTGCCAAGTCTTTGTCAAATACGTAAATTAATGATTATATTCCATCCATTCGTCTGTCTGTCTAGAATACCTTTACGGCGTCAATCTTTTTTCCTACGGCTATATGCTTGCCCTTAACCAATTAACTGCATATGGCGACCATATAGATTGCGGTCCATCTATCCGTCCTTATCCGATTTCCTCATGAAATTTTATCGTTATGAATGCGCATATATCATAATAACATAAATTTTAGAAAATATTTTTGTCATTTTGTCAAGTCATTTCATTACAACATAATTTCACACTATACATACTCTGTGTTTGATGAGTACACTCGTAGTAGGGGCAATAGCAGCAGTCATAGATTGACTCATTCGAAATTCTTGGTGGTGTACACTGGGCGGAGTGCAAAAAATAAAGGTCTCTGCTTTATTCGCCAGATAAATTGTCACACGAATGCCGAGACTGGTACAGGGACTACCCGGTATCTTATAGCTAACGAGAAACTCTTTAACGCTTGAAGTTGGCTCAGAGAAAGCAAAAACATATGAAATAAATGCAGGAACTTCATACTCTGACGAAGTCCACCAACCGTCTTCACATAATGTTCCACCTATTTCTATCCCCTCCTTAAGGAATTCTACTAATATACACGCAAGCAAGCATTAGCCAAACAAATTGTAATAGTGTTATTGCAAGTGCAAGTCTGGAAAACAATCAAATAGAAAATCACGATGGCGATCGCACTAATAGTTGTAATCACAATCAACACGACTCTAATTATGTCGTCGGCTCTAGTACATGTAATCACTCTAGCAGTAATCAAAATAACGCTAACCGTATTACTTGCCCAAATAAGGAAAGTCAGATCCCCAATTTTATTCGCATAGACGTCGATTGCCGGGTCTGTGGAAGAACCTTTACCGCGAAGACAGGCGTGGGGTTTCATATGTTTCTTTCTCAAACGTCGACTCACATGCCTCAAGAAGCGGAAAGTGAAAACTATACACGATGTAGGAGAAAAAAATTTCAAATTTTCCACTGTTCCATTATTGAGTTAGTTTTTATCTGATAAGTTTGCTTTCAAAGATCATAATATTATTAATTTTTATTCATCAGCTGTTAACGTCAAGCCTTTTTTCCTGTTCGCAATTGATTTCATTTATATTTAAGCCACTCGTATATAGTTTTGTAACTTTGGCCACGAACGTTGTCGACATATTATACTATTTCTTTTTTCTTTTTAGGGTAGGATAAAAAGCCGCTAGGGCAAGAAGTTATGTAAAGCTAATGGTGTTGATTGAGTAACGAAGAACTGGGCGCAGAACTGCAAGTGCTTCCTGATTAACTATATATATGTATGAGTAAATCTATTTATTTTCGATATCCCCGACAATGAAGATAACTATTAGCACACTTAGCGATAAGATTTTCTGTCTTGATGTTTCTGAAGACCTCGAATTGGAGGATTTTAAGGCGTTCTGCGAAGTTGAATCCCTTATGAGGAACGAACAGATGCTCGTTGTTTTCAATGGTGAACCATTACTTGGCAATAAAAAACCTCTGAAATTCTTTGGTATTAAAGATGGCGATTGCGTTATGTTAGGGCAGGTTCAACTTGAACGGCCACCTTCCATCGATGCGACTGACAGAGGAGCCATTCAAAATGTGGAAGCGGGGCTCTCAGGTAATCTGGATACATTTAAAACTGTTTTACACGATCAAGCTAACACATGTAGAGGACAGAATGTCCAACATATGCAATTGGTGCGGGCCGATCCCTTCGATAAGGAAGGGCAGCGCCTAATTGAGGAAGACATAAAGCAGAAAAATATCGAAGAAAATATGGCCGCCGCTCTAGAATACAATCCTGAGATATTTTGTAACGTAATAATGCTTTATGTTAATTGCAAAGTGAATGGTTTCCCGGTTAAAGCATTTGTAGACTCAGGAGCTCAGACCACAATTATGAGTTCGACATGTGCAAAGCGTTGCAATGTAACGCATTTAATTGATACCAGATGGAATGGCGTGGCCAAAGGCGTAGGCACTCAGCGTATAATCGGACGCATTCATATGGTGCAGCTACAAATTGAAAACGATTATTTAGCGTCGAGTTTTTCAGTGCTCGAACAACAGCCTATGGATGTACTATTGGGTCTCGATATGCTCAAAAGACACCAGTGTAATATTGATTTGCAACGCGTTGTTTTACGCATTGGCACGACCGGTACCGAATCACTATTTCTGTGTGAAAATGAATTGCCCGACTTCGCTCGTTTCAACAATAGTTCCGAAGATCAATTAAGGGCCTTGGAGATATCAACACAAGACGCTGAAGCGCACGCCGTACAAAAAGCAAGAGAACAAACCAATAAACTGCATAAATCTGGAAATGCGATACCCGATCGGGGTAGTTTCAGTGAAAGCGACGTCACCGATCTTGTACGTATGGGTTATAAGCGCGATATTGTTATAACCGAACTGCGTCAACATAATGGCAACAAGAACAAAGCTACAGCAGCCCTTTTGACAAAATCATTGAAATTTTAACTGTAAAATGTTCGCATAGCCTAAAAACTTGACTGGGTCTTAATTTTTCAAGCTTAGATTTAAATGTAAACCGCCAAATCAAAGAAAATTCATGTAAACGAAAAATTAACAATTGTTTAAAATTGCATTTTATAAGACACGAAAAAAAAAAAAAAATGCAAAATTAAAAGGAGAAGTAGAAAACAAACCATAATAATACCAATTTATGTATGATTCTGTCATAAAATAAAATTGTTTTTTTTTTTTTTGTATATAAAAAGCAAATAGAACTAAAATTTGAAAATTTCACAAATATAAATTTATTCATATCTATTTTAATTGGACAATTTTAAAACGGTAAACTGCTCTCATTCCCATCACATGTCTTTTCTGTCATTATTATTGTCGCAGGATTGTCTTCAATATGTTCCAAATACTCTACCATGAAAATACACCTGTAGCATAAACTCTCAAAATCTCAAAACTAAAAATGTCTCTCAGAAAATGTGAACGAATGTCTATGAAAATTATCAAAAACCAATCGACATGTGTCTGAGAACGACCAGAATCCAAAAATTCTCTCCGCATCATTTTTATTTTCTTCTTCGTTTACATTGAGAACGTTCGTATGAAATTTTTTACAAGAAAGAGGACTTGAGGTAAACCCAGCTATTTTACAACAACCAAATCAGAGTCATATTCTAAGCTTGCCTGTCCGTCTGCCCGCCTTGTTTTCGTAAATTGAACTCGCAACGAGCAAACTTTCGAAATATTTTGATGAAATTTGGTACACAAACACTCCCCACTCTTTCGATCACTTCGCATATTAAGTCTTATTTTGCAAGTTCGTTAAATGAATAACTGTATTAAACGAAGTTATGTAGGGTATGTATCAATATTTTTACTTTTTATGTCCTCTTTTAACATAAAGAGCAGTCAATTTGCGAAAACCTTGATTTGTTCAAATATTCAAATTCTTTCCCTACTCAAACTTATAAATGATGTAAAAAAAAATCTTATATTTTGCTCTTAAAAATTTGCATTTTGTGGTTGTTCTCCATGTAGTGTACATTTCATCAATGCAGTGTACATTTTAATGATATATCTGTGAATATATATATATATATATATATATAGTAATGTTATCATTCACAATTGTCAAGGTCATTCACCATCCATAAGAAAGCATTAAATAATAGTTGCAAAGTTCTTTTGCTTCTTTTACTTCCTCTTCTTTCCGTATATATATGTAAAAATACATGCATTTCAAATCATTACACAGTTCCTCTCTATTTAAATATACGCTTGGTCTTGAAATTCTAATAAATTCCTAAGAAAATTAATTTAAACTTTTGCCGCAGTTGCTTTAACTTGAACAGAGGTTGCATCTTAGATTGAATAGTGCTATGGTAGCGGCACAGCATAGCACCACATGGGTGGGCATTATTGCAAGCACATGTATCCTGAATGTGATTGTTTACATATTGTATAAAGAACTGATGATGATGATGATGATGATAGAATGGCATGCACAATGCATGGGTTGTGCGCACACATACGTTCAATATCAATTATTTCATTAAATACATATGTGCTGAAGCATGGGTATCAGGCTTCGATATGCATCGTTGTCGGCATTTTGACTTTGTACTTACTTATATAACATTGTATTTCCTCCTCCTTGTTCTATCACTGCACTCAAGATGATGACTTTAATGATGACACAACGGCAAATTGCCGTACTGTACGGAATTATAAGTACAAATACAAAAAGTTGAGAAGACGCACGAAATTAGTTTGAACCCAACAGGTGCTTTGGACAAAGTTTTAAGAGAAATGCTTTTTTTACATTCGTTTCACGCTATATGTTTATGTATATGCAAATGCATACGCACTTGTAAATCCGCCTGAGTATCGTACAGTTAAGAAAGCATCGTAGTTGTGCAGTCAACATTAAGAAAACCATTTACAAGTGCATTAGGAGATGAACGACGATGATCGACTAATTACTATGATAAGGCCGCTTCTTCCACTTTAGCTTACTTGACAAGCGATTGTAACACTTATGCATGTAACTGCTGCATATTCAGCCAAAATCACTTATCCACACACGTAGACAACTTGTTTCAAATGAAATGTTCAATATTTTTCTCTTTTTTTTCTTTTTGATTACTTTCTTGTATTGGTTGTTTGTTAACATAGTTCAAGTTGTGTAAACAGTCACTTTCTACGAACCAAACAACAAGTATTTAACAGCGAGACATTAATCAATTTTATTTTTTTATCAATGTTCGTGCCTTTAAATAATTTGTCTCAGAATTATTTGGAAAAAAACCAGTAAGAGAATTTAATTCGGTCGGAACCGAATCTCTTATGCCCATCTCCGTTCACCACAAAAAACCACAAAAAAAGACAAAAGAAGTAAAAGAACGAAATTCTCATGCTCCATGTTATGGAGTGGGAACAGTTGATATCTTCTATTTCCAAAATAAAAGTTTCTGTCGTAGCGGCATGTGGGCGTTGTAGGTGCGTCCATTGAAAAGCTTAGGTTAATTCGAATCCTTTTGCAAATTTGTAGGCGATCTCTTCATTTTTGCTGACGGGAGAATGTTTACCGCAAATACCAGAATAAAGATATTGAAAAAATAATTAAATTTTGATACAAAATAATATTGTGTAGGCATGGTCAATTTTTTCCATTTTAGTACACAAATGCCATAGCATCGCTCATATAATATGTGTTGAAAATTTTGTACATTTATTTGCTATAAAAAACCAATTTTTCATTTCCTTTGAAAAACAGAGATGTTATCAGTTTACGTTGTGCTGTGGGCGAGTTCTTTGACTGATTTGGTCCATTTACAGTACTAGCCTGCGTGCAAGATTTTCCACTGTTTCTGCCAAATTTGAAGTCGAGAGCTTACTTTTTGCGCTCAGGAGAAGATACACAAAAGACTTCATACAGACGGACAAAAGGTCGCACATGCTTAGATCAACTCAGAGTTTGATGCTGATCAAGTATATATATACTCTATCATGTTTCATACTGGGTGTTGCAAACGTTTGGACAAAATGAATATATATGCTCATCCTTCGCTGATGGGGATATAGAAAAAAATCACTTTTTTATTAGTGACAGCCGACCGACAAACAGTTATAGATCGATAGGAAAATACATATCATTATGTTTAACTGACAGTTCTATCGACAGGAGTTTTGTTTGTAGCATTGACATACGACTTTAAAAGCTTTTAATAAATGTTAGTGTGTTTATAGAAAATATTGAGCCTAATAACAGTGATACCGTAAGTAAGTTCCAAACATCAGTCCAAATGAGGATTAATAGAATAAATAGGGAAAATATACGAAAAAGCTCTGTCTTCTTGAGAACTGCATATTTTCTAGAATGCTTCAATATTTTTAATAAATATTGAACCTTCAATAAGAAAATTCGTGTAAAAAAAGACTGTGTAAAAGTCAAATGAAACTCTCGTAAAGAGAAGTATTAGATTTAGGAAGTAACAGAGAAAAAAAGGCGTTTATGGCGGCGCGAATTCAATTTTTTTTAAAGACAGTGCCAGTCATTATACCCGGCCCCACATGTGGTACAAGTGGTATATTAGGTTTTTGCGGATGTATGCAACACCCAGGACGGCTTCAGATAAGTTCACCTTTTATTGTACCGGTCTATCCAGCATCACTTTCTGAATTGACCTAAACTTGTCCGTCTGCCCGCCCGTCTTCGGGTATTTTGTTCAACCTACAGACCGTTATTTTTGCGATATTTTTATGAATTTGAACACACCGTATTTACCAAGCTTTGGTTTTTTGTCTCGGTTTTTGCGACCGGTCCAGAAATATATCCGATCTCTCTTATATCCGCCTGAGTGGCCGCTTAGGCAAGAGTCCCGGCTAGCAATTCAATGGTCGTGAGTTGAAATCTCAAGTGCGGTAGAGTTTTTAATAAAGTCGAAAGCCTTAGATGCTAGTGCTCTAAGACTTTTAATCTTAGAATTTATTCTCGGGCTAAAGTTATAATAATAATAATAGTAATAATAATATCCGATCTCGTTTTTGTTTTGAAGTGAAAATCCATGAACAGAAGCGTGTTCTAACTCGTGTGGCTTACGGTACTTTTAATTCACCAATACTTTAACGGTTGGTCGCTATATCTTCGAACTGCTCGCCAATTAGAGAGAGTAAAAGCTTTGATGATTTGTCTAATCAAGAATGACCAATGTAGTGTATTCTTTTTCTTTTTTTTGAGATTATGTTTGTTTTAACGCTTCTACTTGTCAAAATATGGCACCATTTGAGCTTTAAAAAGTGCCTATAATTCTTAACTTTGTTTTTTTTATCACTATTAGCTATCGATTTTGCTGCAATAGCGCAAATTTGTTGTTGTAATAAGTGTTACGCGGCGCGAAAAATTTAATGTCGTTTCACAAACAAAGAGAATGCTGGCTGGACGTAAGGCTAAATTTTACTATAATTTTACACTGATCGAATATTTGCCTTTTTGCCTCAGTTTAGTTTACTATTAATTAATAATAACAATAATTAATGGAAATACAATTATACAATAATATTTATTATTAAAATTGGTAAAAGTGTAAGTGCCAATAAGATTAAAACTTATCTTGCGGCACAGTTGTGAACGATACTATGGATGCTACAACTGCATTGTACAATATGGGACCATAAGATAGATGCCGACCCGTCCTCCAACTAACAATCATTTTCATACTAAGTGACTTGGGCTTTTAGAAACTTTCTGCAACCACGTTTAAAAGAAAAGGGATTGTTTTTTATTGCTTTTGTAGAGCAACGAAGATATCGTTTAATGGAAAATCACGTAAATTAATTTAATTTATATACACTACTACTAAAGTTCACAGCTTTTTCAAAATGTTTTCTCAATGTCGTATTTTTTTAAATTTTTGTATAGATATTTTTTTTTTTATTAATTATTATATTATTAAATTATTATCAATAACAATGTAACTCTCACGCTTAAGTTCAAATACATGATAGATTACAACTAGCAGCCATAACAATAGTAAATCATTGTCTATATTTGCATTATGATTTACTCATCTATTGCAGAATTCCTCAACTTTCTTCCATGATGATGACTGCAATCGTGAGAGCTCGCCCGTCTTTGTCTTCTCTCTGTTAAGCTAAATAATCCGAATAAAAAATTCTACACCGTTAGTGTTAGGCAAAACTCTGCAGATAAAATTACTTTAGGTTTAACCCATAGAATCAATTGCATAAAAGTGGGAGACTTTGTAAAATATACATAGGGTATCCCAAATTTTGCTCAAGAATTTGCCGCGATATATGGGGTAAAGTGTTGGCAACGCATTTTCATTGCTGAACAATATTTCGAAAGTAATGAGAGTTTAGCGGTCGCTGTTCCCAAATTTCCTACAAAATATAGTCGAAATATTAATTTAGGGTTATTCGAAGGCACAGGTCAACGCACAATCGCACAACCGCACTTGTATTGAAGGAGGAGAAGCAACGCTGCATCGACGTAACTCAGCCATACGAATAGAATATGGTCACGAAAAATTTCCCCTAAAAGAATGCATACGTGCCAGCAAAGGCGTGGAGGTCATTTGCCCGACATACTATTCGACCCTTTCCCGTATACATTATGATATATGTTTAATAACTGAATTATAATTATAAAACAAAAATAAAGTCTGTGTTTCTATTTTGGGACACCCTTCATACATTTTTGATGAGTGTCTGTTTCTTGAAACCACTGAATGTTTATTGGCAAACAAGTTTTTCTCAACTTGAAGTTCACTTGTTTGGTGTTCATAAACCTATCATTTGCTAGGTATTAGTTTTACTTATAGCGATTTTTTGATCATTAATAGTTAAATCTAGAAATCTAGAATTAAACTTCAATGCCGAAACTGATGTCGTGAAATCTGTTTGCTGTTAAATGAAAGTTAAGGTCAATTAACTTTCCGTTTAACTTTTATCGAGAACTGTCCTGTATTCAAACTTTTTATTGAAACTATCCTAATGCAAAGTTCTCCCAAAGATACCAATTCCTTTTCATCTCCTATTTTCATCACTGTTTAGGTGCTTGCAATAGGAGTTCGAAAACAAGTTTACGAACAGTCTTACGAGATTATTGAAAACATTCTGGCGACAATTTCAAGCAACAAGAATATCGTAAACTAGTTGTGAAAGGGTAGACGCATCTAGAGACTTTGCATTGGTGAAGTGCACCACACATAATAGTTGAGTAGACGTGGGTGGGTATGTGTTCAAACTGGTTAGAACTATTCTCAGTTTGGGCGGCGAAGCTGAGCGAAATGACAAACACTCTTGGGATCGATTTAAAAATTTTGCTCTTTTAAGCAAAGCTAGGCACGCAAATACGTTAATACGTCCATTAAGAATAGTTACCCCAAAAAGGAAAGATAGATAAGAAATAAGAATATTCGCCTACATTTTGTATTAGTAATTAGTAACTTTCGGGATATTGTGGATCTGTTTCCGAAGTGATGAAGTCTATTTTCCAACTTGGTCTGCGGACGGCAATTAAACGCGAAATTTCATTTTGGTATTCACATTTTTGCAATTTTGCCTCAATGGGTAAGTACACGAGACAATTCCTGCACTTTAATGGAAGTTCAAAGAGCGAAGCTATGAAACGAGTACATTTTTACTTCAAAATGTTTAAAGAGTTTCATTGAAATTTGTCTGTTAAATCGTCATGAACATCGTGCACACCGATAAGACGAAAGCGACTTTAAGCATTGAGCAGATTAAAAATCTATGTACTATCAAGACTTTTGTTTTGATGTATTTTTCTCGACATTACGAACGCAATGTGTAAGTGCTCTCTCATCATACATTGGGAGATACAAAAGAACGCGTTTTATATGCAAGTAGAATACAGTTTCAGAAGAACTGAAAATATTTTTTGTATTTTTCATAATATTTCTTATCAGTCTGAAACAATAAAATGAATCTTGTAGAGGAGGACGTTTTACTTTTACTTTAATCTGCGATATATTCGTTCGTTGCTTATGGTTAATATAAATTCGCAATGCATTTGGGTTACTTTGCTTGGAAGGTAATTTAATGGTTACCTTTTTGCTTCTAATCTATGCATCAAAAAGCAATGAGAACTTTAAAATTGCCCGCCACGTATCGATTACTTTTATGTGTGTTGTTAATGTACAGCCATCTTCGCTGATTGCTTTGTATTAACGAAACAAATGAGCATAACCTACCTACGGTGGATTCGGTGATTTTTTCATCGGAGCGTTTTTTTTTGCCTTGCATTAAAAGGGAATTAACAGCAGCGATGCATTGGAAATCTTAAGAAAAATCTTTGGTAACGATACTCGATGATAAAGAGTTAATGAAAGAAAGGCTTAAAATATACTGAAAATTATTTGAAATCTGTCGGTCCCCCTCTATGCAGATGTGGAAAAAATCAAACAATAGTGCTTTTCAGTTAAAAATTTTATCATCAGAGCAATACAAGCCTTGGAAGAAGGAAATGTTTCATCAGCGAAATGTGGTGTGATTTTTACTAATGTTTTGCATATGAAAAGAATGGCAGCCGCGCCTAAAAACTGCCAAATTTTCCATCACTTCGCAGCGCAACATAACAGCTTCATAGATTTTGTTCTGAAGACTCGTCTCTTTGAGATTTTTTTTTTCGTTCTTAAAACAAGTAAGAGTGATATAGTCGGGCAAAGTCGACCAAAAGTTACCCTCCACCATCTCATCTAATTTACAATACAATAAAAAATATGCATTATTTTTAGGTAAAATAAAAAGCATAATTTTCATGACACCTTTGATAGATTGAAGAATTTTCAAACCTCAACGTGGTCTCTACTCAGCGAACTTGATTTGCTTGATAAAGATTTCATTATTTTGCAGATGCTGCCAGCATAAGAAACCATAAATTAGGCTTTGTCGCCAGAGAAGGCTTTGTTCTGTTGATAGCCCTATATAAATAGGTCTCAGCGATTTTCATTCTCCGCTGAGGACAATTTTTCTTCATAAAATATTGGAAATTAGACCTTTTTACCATATAAAAATTCAGTTTATGCAAGAAGGGCTATATACCAAGGGATTCAAAATATTGCCCCATGCGATCTAAAGTTTTCACATCAATTTAGGATGTCGAAATGCTATTATTAAAAATTACAATAAGTATTATTTTGAGGACTTAGGAAAGTAGGGCTTTATATGACGAGTGATCAAAAAAGTGGTTCGATCCGAGTCATTTTCAATAGTGATTATCGTTGTGTATCGTATCGTCAGTGTACCGTATTTCATCAAAATATTGCAAAAATTGCGACCTGGACACAAGAATATATTGACAGACATCAGACGGACGGATGACCGGACGGACGGACAAGCTTAGATTGGCTTCTATGTTGATAGCTATAATAATAAGCGAGTGTATCCCAAATCCTTCTGGGTATTGCAACCATCGGCACGAACTTAATGCACCCTGTGCCAACAGCGCTATGGAATATAAAGATGCTCAAAAGGTCGTGTTCAATAACGTCAAAGATAAGGACAACTGACCTCATTGGAATCTAAAAGACGCTCCGGCAGGCTTTTTCAAGTTGCACACTGGTTAGCAAAGGTGTACAATTTTATGAATATACAATATATACCAAAAATGAAATGAAAATTTATTAAAGAATCGCATTTTAATTCTTATTTGTTTGTAAAAATTCTCATTATAATTACAATTTATAGTGACTTGTACTTGAATGTAGCTAAACATATGATGTTAAAATTGCAAAATGTTTGTATACACGTTTGCTCTTCAAATTCATTGCAATCGTTTCGGTTGAAATGGGGGAGCAATGGGGGCAATATATTACTTCTTTCCATTTCATTTTATCAAAAGGTAAACACAACATAAAACAGCTGATTTTTGTTTTGGTTTTTTGTACATATTCCGGTTTTTTATTATTGTTTAACGTAAAGCGCTTTGTTTAGCGTTAGCATTGTTTGTATACGATGTGCGTAGGAACATGTTGCCAGAGAAAATTTTGCGCATGTAAAATACAAACGAGTATGGGGAGCAACAACATAAGCAAGCAAGAAAATTGTGAAAATTTTCAAAAAAAGTTTAGTTCTTTTTTTCTCTTCAAGCGGTTAAGATGTGTGAATTTTTGTCGGAAAATAATATACGTAACTTCTTTCAAAGTGTATGGTATACGTTTCAATTCCATATTAACACGTATACGGTAACAGGCAGAATGAATAAAAGTAATAAATGAATGAATTAAATAAGAATTTTTGAATAACAATAAACATTAATTTATTGCATTTTATGTAAAGTAAGAAAGAATTAATTAAAAACCTCTGAGCGCGAAAAGCAGATGTATGCGTGCGTTTCAAATAACTTATAGAAAAAAATCGCTATTATAAAAACGCCTAAACGTTGTTTACGGCGAACACTTAGTTAGTGAGTGCACGCGTAACAGTGATTTAGGGATTTCCTTCGCCAGCAGTTCACTAGTTACGATTTAAAATGTTCGAACTGTGCGGTTATTTAGCAACGCATGTATAGTGTATTGTGCTTCAAAAAAAAAAAAAAATACAAGTGAAAAGTTGGGCCTTTGGCAAAAATAAAAATAAATACATAAAAGATTATTACAATTTCTGTTCTGCATGAATATTCGTAAAGTTGTACGTAATTGATATTAGATAAGAGCTTCAGAGCTCTAGAATAGATCGCAGTGATGCAAAAAGAGAAGGAATAAATTCGAAGTATTAATGAGTGATATGAAAAGAGAATTTCGTTTGATAAAAAATGTTCTAAGATAATTAATTAATGATAATAATAATAATATTAAAATAAAAAGATGCCATTAAAAATATGTTAACGGCGTTGGTGTTACTTAGCGCCCGAAAATTTGCTTAACATTTAATGGTGATTTAAAAAGCAAGCAAACGGAAACAAGGTGCGCGTCTCGTTAGCCTCTTAACCACAGACACATTCTCTAAAGCTTGCTTGTATTAATTATTGTAAACTGTCAACTTACTTCTTGGATTTGTGACAAATAGTGCCTCAGTTATTCACGATTTCTTTAAGATTGTTGCTTTTGCCGGTTTTTTTGTTTTTCTTTTTTTTTTTTTGGAGTCTCGCGGCTATTGTGCGCGTTTTCATTTTGGCATCGAGAAACACTTGTCATTTCGTCGACGTTATCGTCGCGGCCGTCGCTGCTACTAAATAATTTTTGTGTGTGAGAAAATTTTTTTTTTTTTACGTACGTGGTCGTATGTTCGTTGGCGATTGCAAATGTGTGTGCGGTTATAATGTTTACCTTTTGAGAAAATTTAAGATTTTGCAATAACTTTTTTTACGAGCTTATTGATAGGCGCATACTTTGTGGAGGAGTGTGTAAACTGAAGAAATCAAACTAGATAAAAAAAAAAGAAGCAAAAATATAAGAAATATATATATATATATATATATAAATATATAAATATATGCATATACATGTATATATTTATATAGAGATACATAAGTAAAAATGCTTATATCGGTATGTATTAGAAATTTGACATCAGTGTGCGTTGAACTTATAAAAGGTTCAGTGAAGCTCACAATGTAAATGATGAGCTCATAAATTTTCATTAAATCGTAAAAAAAACTAAACGTAACCAGTGTAAGAGGGCAAAAAAATTCTTGAGAAGCAAAGAAGCAAAAAAAAAAAAAAAAAAAAATAAGAAAAGAATTCACAGCGACACTTTTCACAGCACATTGAAACTGTACAAGTAATAAAAAACGACGAATATGGCAAACGCCCAGAATTCTATTAGGCGTATATGTACAACAACACTACCACGACGATTTGTGGTTGATGATGATGACGATGATCGCATTAAAACACGCAAGAGAAGGAGGTGGCATTCTAACACGCCATTCTATGGATCGACAAAGTTTATGCTGTTTGTGCTATTGCTGTTTTCAGGCTGTATGATGTTTTTATGGTCTCCAGTTGCTGCTGAGGTGAACTCAAGTGCGAACGATGACAATGAGAACAGCGACCATAACTATGAAGTTGATGATGTTGGTGGCAATAATAAAAATAACAAAAACAATACAAGCAATAACAACAAGCACAACAACATCAATGACCATGACCATGATCTTGACAAAGCTATATTAGACACTTCTGCCGCCGTTCATGGCAATGGTGTGAGTGCAGAAGAAGGTGATAGGAATAGTGCTAATGATTTTCATGGTGCCACAATTGGTAAGACAGAAGTCCTAGAAATGCGGCAACATCATGCTTTGCGACATCAAGAGCACTATAAGCAACGTATAGAGCAAGCGGTTAATGACTTTAAACGTCTTACTGAAGATGCATCATCATCATCATCATCATCATCATCATCATCATCATCGTCATCTTCATCACCAGCATTAACCAGTAATAGCAGACGTTTGCGTTACCAGCAGATACAAGCAGCCTTGCAAGAGTCGTCTCCAACTCATCATAGACGTCACGAACAACATTTGTTACAACAAGAGCAATTGCATGTGCCATTAAGTAAATACGATCATCATATAAGGCATGAGAATCATCACCAACAGCAACGTCTTTGGCCACTAATGCGTCATCAACGATATCAACGTTGGAATTCTCTTTATCCTAAAACAACAATTGTAAACTTCACGGAAACTAATACAGCAACAGCAACAGCAACAACAACAACAACAAAAACTCAACTAATGCCTTCTGTTAAACCGCACTCTGGCATTGAACTTGACGTCGTTGTTAATGATGACGACGATAATGATAATAACGATGATATTATTAGAAATGAAAATAAAACTTCTCAACGTTTATTTGATCGTGAGAGTTTATATGTTAAACACTCTCTGCCATCGTGGACACCAACCACAAATGCTCCGCACTTAAGACATAGTAATCATAAGAAGGCTGAGTTTCTAAAGAAGCATTTAATCAGCGAGAAAGAACAACAGCTTGAGAAGACCCCGGATGAGTCACAATTAAGATTTTCCTTGCCTTTAAATATTTTGGATAATGATGAAAATAATTTGGAAGATTTGAAAAGTAAAGTTTTTAATGAGAATTCGCATAATGAAGAGCATAACGACAACGATAATAATAATAGCGATGATGCTGACTATTCATACGAAGATTCGGGTGAAGAGCAGCAAAAAAAAAGTGTTAAAAAATATTTAAAATCTGTACCAGAATCTAAAAAAATATCTGTTAAACGTTATACAAATCCTTTAAGAGATTTGTACCGTTCATCTAACCACCCAAGATACAACTTTAAGCAACAACAACAACATAGCCATTTGGAGGATAACTTTGGTGAAGAGAGTAATAACGATAACAATAAAAACAATAGTGAAGGTGAAGACAGTGAAAATAATCGCATTGATAGCAGCAGCAGCGGCAGCGATAAAGACATTGAAGATGACAGCGAAGATAATGACGATGATAGTAAATTTTCTGATGAGAAATGGAATAAAATAGAACATGAACATTATCGTAAACAATTGCAACATCAGCGAGCAATGCAAGCATTACGAACAAGACATTCAAGTGGTTTTAACGTTAACACTAAAAATGTAAATCCAGTTAATAATAATAATAACAAATTTCCAATATCGCAAGCATCCTCCTACACGTCCTCCTCCGCATACAACACGGCAGCCAAACGTCAAATACTTGATGATGTAAGTAAGACAAAAAAAAAAAAAAAAAAAAATAGAAAAAGGAAAGAAGAACAGATTTTTATACTTCCACCTTGCAATTCAAGTTCTACAACCAGCTTTTTTTATGTATGTACGTACGTATTATATATTACAAAACGTTCACTTTTGTTCAACAACCCCGAGGAAAGAAAGGTATAAAAGAATATTGGAAAAAAAAAAAAAAGTAAGAAAACAAGAAAATGAAGAGAAATAAGGTATAATCTCAACATTGACCGCTTCGGTGTTGTTTGTTTTCGTAGGACAGGCACGTTTTCGCTTTCTTTTTTTGGCTCTTTGATAGAGAAAAACACATATACATGTGTGTATATAACGACAGTGCGATATGTAAATAAGTTTTCATTCAAAATTGTATGTCTATGTGTGTGCATTTTATATGAATCAACATTTTTAGTGTAGAGTTGTTTTGGAGCTTCTGTACAAACAGAACATTCTGTTCGATGTTCACACATGCCAACGCACATACGTAGATATGGAAAAACGTTCGCAAATAATTCATTGTTGACATTTTAATGTTTCATGTTGAATAACAATTCCTTCGTTTTTTTTTTTCTTATTTGCACTTTTGTTTATATTTTCTTTCATTTAAATACATAATTGTTTTATTTTTTTCTTATCTTTGACAATTTGTTGTTATTGCTGCACTCTCTGATCTTTATGCACATGTGAACGATGACATAGTCTTGAGTGGCTGATTATTACGTTAGGGCGGTTGTGGTGAACGTGCTGATATATATATGGACATATATATATATAGATATTCGTACAGTACTATTTTTAAACTTTTTTCTGCTTAAATGAGACGACGAGAACATCTTGTGCGAAAGAATTACATATGGAAATTCAGAGCAATTTTTTTCGTTTTTTCGGAAGTTGCAGGGAAAACGAGTCCAGTTCATTTACTTCTGCATTTAGTTAGTTGAAAGTCTTTACGTTTTTTTGTTTGTTGTTGCAAAGCTGGGAGTATATTAAATGCACGCTTTCGCTTGTAACATCCGACCGCACGCATCGGAGCTATGTCAACTTCTGTTTGTCCATTTTTTGCGTCAAGTTTCGCGGTGTTGTTCGCACCCTAGAAGCTAAACGTATATTTATATTACGCATATACACATTTCTAAGTTGAGAGGCAAAACACAAGTGAGTGTAAGCGCTATGCTTTCATCTACGGAGCATTCACTATAGTTGCTATTATACTGCTTATTCGCTCCCTGTTTCCTTTGCTTTTGCTCCTTCCACTTCCAAGAGCAAAAAGGATCACAAAAGAAAGAAAACATTTCTGATTTCCGTTCGCTTTTTCAAATTCATTCATTTTTGAATTCATTGAACCAACAATGCACTAAATTCATTGCACTACGGGCACATATATATATTGCGTGTGGTTTGATCATCGACAGTCTAACTACGTGCCGCAGACTATTAAATGTCGAAGAAGATGGCAAGAACTCATATGATTGAAATGTTAAAAAGGTTACTTTTATTTCTTAGCCAACAAGGAATTTTTTCCTTAGCTTATGTGAGTCCATAATAAGATCATGTTTTGTTATTCTTTACGCGATTGCAAGAATATATTGTGAATCATCAGTGAACAAATCATTATTGCTTCAGGCATAGAAAAGCCCTATCGATCGTTTGCTAAGAGCTACTACAAAAAATACCACCGAAAACGGTTCCTCAGTCAAATAATACATGAAAGAAATTTAATACGCACCTAATTACAAAAGCAATGCGGTCCCAATCAATAGTAGTTCTATAACAAATTCATACACTTATAAATTAACCACATGAAGATGGTAAAATAATTAAAAAGTTTGACACGAAAAACGCTGTTAATCGTTGTTCATATAAAAACTTTTTACAAAAAGTTGTTACGTTGGGCCAAAATACGTGAGTGTATTAAATTTCATAAAAATATTTCAAAAATTGCAACGAAAACAGAAAAGAAAAGGCGGATGGAGGGACACATACGCCTGTATCGATTGAGAAAGTGACTCTTAATCGGTTCATATAGTAAAAGATGAATCCGTCTCAAGTCGTTCTGGATGCTGCATACAATCGCGCAATCTGTGCACGTGCATCGCAAGTAGTATAGCGTATAAAAACCAAATTACTCATTAAATACGTTCATATAAGGAAAATTTTCGCATTAGTGTACGAAAAACGCGACGATACATTAGTCAGGATGGACTTACATCATCGCTGACAATAAGCGGAAATTTTTTATTTACTAACATAATTCTTTGTGGAAACAGGGACTGAAGTAATGAAAATTCTTATAATATTCGCCTGAGTACCGAGAAGGTAAAAATCTTGACTACCAAGTCAGCGTCAGTTCGTCCGTTCACATCTCCCATGCGCTAGGGCTTAGGTTGGTTGCAGCTAACAACAACAACAACTGCCCACCAAGTGGTGGCTACGATCAACCTATTTCTAGCTCTTTCCTCATTTCTCTCTGACCGGGAGTAGTTGACATCCCCTGAGCGATTGGTCACATCACAAACAAAAAAAAAAAACAATTTATATGAGTTGTAATTATTGTGATTGTCTAAAGTAAGAATGTTAGTCGTATGTGAAAAGAAATTTTAAATTTCCAGTTATCATTCTAGTCTAAATGACGTCACACGTGAAAGCATCGAGGCCAATCGTCTTTAGTTGAGCTTTCAACTAAGCATTCAGATGCAATGCCTTCTAAATTTACAATGATTGCCAATGCGATGCTTTTTCGATTGTCTATGCACTTGCATTAAACAGGCGGTAAGTTCTTCAAGAGAGCAACATTCTTCAAGATTGATTTCCAAACTCAGAAATGTTTTAAATATTTCCAAGCATTTCTCCGTTAGTTCGTTAGTTAGAGTAGGCAAATATGATGCATACAGTCATAGTTGGAAAACTTTCTTCTCTCTTGTCATTTAATGTAATTAGTTGTGTCCCCTTAATCAGTCAGCAGTCAAATTAACTGTAAATCAATATTAAAGAGGAAAGAACTGCTTTTTAAAGCGAAATGAAAAGAAAATCAATTTGTTACTCCTTTCGCGTGTTCGCCACACTCGATTAACGTTAACTTTAACTCAACTATTTTCATGTTTTACGCATTCAATGTTACGGTATGGATGATGTCTGCCAAAAGCATGAATTAAACTCGGAATTTTTCTCTACTCGCACACGTTTGCCTCTTAAAGCAGATATGCTTGCGCGCTTATGCACACACTCGCAGAGGGTTGCAATTAAAGTATGTTTGTTAATTAAAAACAATTTAAAGAACATAAATTACGTAAATGCTTAAAAAACAAATTCAAGTTTCGTTTGCCCGCGTATATACGAACGTGAATATAAATTCGCATACAAAAGTCTAAAATATCCATAAACCAAACGACAGCAAAGCACAACAAATGGGTCAAATCAGAGATATTCCAATAAAGAGATGCACAAGCATTGGCATATACATCATTTGCAATTGAGAACATTCTTATATAGAAAAATATGAAAATAAAATTAAATAAAAAATAAAATACAAAAATAAAAATGTATATTTATTTTAAGTTTTAAACAAATACAATCAGTAACGATTATAATGGCATTTCCGTTGCCATTCCATCGAAATTAGAGTAACGAACATATTTAAGCACATATATCATTCGTTCATAGCAAAATGTTTAGAAAATATTTCTATGATTTTCGGTTTAAAAATTATAATTAGAGCGATTTTTCCCACATTTATATTATTGATAACTGACACTTTGTTAAAGTGGAAGCATTGGTGTCTCTACTCTTTGCACCCAAACGTGCTCTATATAATGCGTGTAATCTATTATATAAAATAATCTAAAAAGTATTAAATCATTTTTCTTTTTTTGGAGTTTTATTCAAAAAAAAGCAGAGCATATTAGCTATTGCAGTAAGCAAGACCGACTTTAACTTAACAGCTACCTTTGAAAGTTTGTTTATAAAATATTCTACAGATCAGTGTTCTTTCAATAAAAAGAATTACATTTTCTTTGGTGAATAAAATAATTTGTTGGTTTTTTTTTTTGTTTATAATATGAGCAATCAACCAATCAGTCTTAGACCTAGGTTTACTTATTAGTACTTCAAGCCGAAAAATATTCTAAAAAACTGTTTACTTTGCTGTGCTCTTGATCAATGATCTTCTCTGTAATTGCGTAATTGAAGCATTCAGCCTTAAGAGTGAACGGTTGGAAGCACATTGTAGCCAGTAGTGAATACCGAATAGGTGAATGAATAAATGATCAGAAAGAAATAGGGAAAGAAGCAGATATAGGGAGTGCCAGCACCCTAGTGAGCGTGTGCTCCATTGATAACATTTCCCAACAGAGCGCTTACTATAGCTACGACGAAGTGAGGTCAAAACCGCACAAAGTTTCGAGGCGGCACACACCACTTACGGGACAACTTAGAAGCTGCGATCTTTACATACTCGGCCGTGCACCCTCTTTTCTGACAGTTCAGGTCGAATAGATGCTTAAGAGGAATTAATCAAATTTGCAGAGAGTGGACGATATGCAGCAGCCTGGCATGACGTCGTCAAGAAGTTAAACAATGTGAAATTATTTAGAGAGAGCTTCGTACAAACAGAAATTCAACGTAACAATGCTATTTTAGTAAATTCAAAAAAATTTACCAAATTTTACGAAAACATACGAAACTCATTGCTAAGGGGAGTACTGATACTGAGTCCTAAAAAGTGAATTACACAGCTAACAATATAAATATATCATGTTTGGCAGGCCTCCACGATGTCTATGAAAATTTTGATCTCTCTTTGGTTCACACCACAGTTACTACTGCTAGTCACAGGCGATGGTCATCGCTGATCATAGCAAGCAACTCAAGGGAAAAGAAACAAACTAATCATCAGCAATGTTTGCAAAGGCAGACGGATTCACTAGAATTTCAGAGAAATTAATCGGAAGAGGAATGTCATGATGAAGCAGGTCGCTCTTAATCCC